ACGGACTTACAAGCTTTCCATGGTGATGTTACTGTCTATTCTTTTCTTTCCCCCTCAAGTGTCTAGTTTATAATGCTATGCCAGGGAAACCAAATTCATAAGACAGCCAAGCATCTTAACATTACTTCCCCATTCCAACCATGTCTCAATCCCTGTTGTTCCAAGGTTGTGCATACATCGTTATTTACCTCTGTCCCACTTAGCCCTTGAAAACCTGCCTAATTCTTCTCTCATTCCGAAATGCCTTAACTTTTGATATATTTTCTTTTCATTTCATTCTGTTCAAAATAGGAGCCATGGTGGTGCAGTGGTTTAGTGCTAACCAAGAAGTTAGCAGTTCAAACCCATCAGCCTCTCCATGGCAGGAAGAATGTGTCTACTTCCATAAAGGTGACCGCCTTGAAACTCCTCTGGGACAATTCTCTGCCTTACAGAGTCACAAGGAATCTATTCAAAATACTTTCTATTGTCCTTTTTTTTTTAAATGTGTTTTTTAAGATACTAGACTTCAAAAAAACTTCCTAAGGAAGTTCAGAATTCCCACATACTGTTCAGTTCAGTTTCCATTTTGATTTTTTATTTGATTATTTAGAGCGTGTTGTGTAGTTTGCAAATATTTTGTTGTTATTTTCCAGCTGTTTTTCTGTCATTTTTAATTGAATTCCATTATCATCAGAGAACATAATTTGCATGACTTGAATCCTTTTAAATTTATTGAGACTTGTTTTATGGCTTAGAATATGGTCTATCTTGGTAAATGTTCCTTGTGCACTTGAAAAGAATATGCACTCAGCTTTTATTGGATGGAACATTCTATTAATTTCAGTTAGGTCAAGTTGATTGCTAATTCATTCCGAGAGATACTAAGAATTACATAATGCATTATGCTAATCATGAGAGCTGCCAATCACTAGGATTGTTAGGGCTCCTGACTCATGTATTTGCGTCTCTCTTTCCATGGTTTGGAGCCCTGGTGACAGTGGTTTAGGCATTGGGCTGTTATCCTCAAGGTTGATGGTTCAAACTTACCAGCCACTCCATGGGAGAAAGATGAGGCCATCTGTTCCCATAAAGATTTACAGTCTTGGGGACCCTATGAAACAGTTCTTCTCTTTCCCCTAGGGTCACTGTGTTGTTGTTGTTAAGTGCTGGCGAGTCATTTCTTACTCATAGTGACCCTGTGTAGGGTTTCTGAGGAGCGGCTGGTGAGCTTGAATCGCCAACCTTGCAGTTCAAACCGATTTTGCGGTCCAGTGCGTATCCCACAGCGCCCCACCAGGACTCCGTAGGGTCACTGGTTTGGTTTTGGTGTTTTTCATTGTTTGCTTTGTTATTCTTCTACAGCGTTATTTAGTGAATACCACTGACTGTGAAAGTGGCTAAAGTTAGTTTGGGGAAGAATAGAGGGTTGAAAACGAACCTAAAATGATAGCCCCTTGGTTTGGCACTGTAATATCAGCACTGGACTATAAACCACAAAGATGGCGGTTCAAACCCACCTGCTGCTCCTCGGAAACCCTTTACAGGAGGGTCGCTATGAGTCGGAACCAACTCGATGGCATTTAACAACAGTTGACCCTAAACTGGCTGAAATCTCTTTTGGGAAGAATAGAGGGTTGAAAACTAGCCTAAAATGATAGGACAACTTCAGAGTCCACAAAAACCCTCATTTGTCTATACTGTGGGCGGCACTCTGGGTCAGGTGTGCCATGAGCGCAAGGTGAAGTGACACCTCCAGGTCTCGGAAACGTAGCGAAGGTTCTGACCCCCCTACATAAGGTTTCCCCAAGGAGCGACTGGTGGGTTTGAACCGTCCACCTTGTGGCTAGCAGTCCAGTGCTTATCCTACAAACCGCATCACACCAGGACTCTGATAGTGCTCTGCCATCCCCCAGATGGCACTGAGATGATGCCAGGCTCTTGGTGTGCTGACAACACTGTAGTGATGAGGGCGTCGTTGGGTGTCTTTCCTGGAATATCATTTCTGGTGTTTTTAACACTGCTTGCTGTGGTTCTCAGTGAGGTGATTGAAAGGCTCTAGTGTTTACAGTCACGGCGTCTATTTCATTGGTATTGTTGTCGTCGGTCAGTGTCCTCGAGTCTGTTCCAACCCACAGTGATGCTCTACAGGGTTTACAGGGTTTCTGAGGAGCAGCTGGTGGGTTTGAACCCAACCCTGAGGTTAGCATCTTTAACGGTTTCGGCTTAGTGTCCTGCGCCACACTAGTTCTCCTTCATTTGCATGTCAAGTCCGTTCCAGCCCATAGTGATACTCTGTAGGGTTCACTGAGGAGCAGCTGGTGGATTTGAACTTCTAACCTTGTGGTGTGCAGCCCAGTGCTGATCCTACCTTTATATAATTGTTTTCAAGGGCTTCATAGAAAATGGTGAAAGGGGAAGATCAAAAGCAGATCAGAATAAGCCCTTGGACAGTGTGGGGGTTAGAGGCGCCCATCACGTTTCACTGCAGCACACAGTTTATTACAGAGATAAACCACTTCTAGGAGACTGATTAGTGTACAGGGTAGTTTGAAAAAACTCCAAGTGTAAGTGTACCCAGTGCTTAGCCTACAGAGCCACCACAGGACCCCAGTATTCCATTACTATGTCCTTGTTGTTGTTGTTGTTGTTAAGTGCCATCTTCAAGTTAGTTCAGATTCATAGGGATCCTGAATAGGGTTTCCGAGGAGCAGCTGGTGAGTTTGAACCACCAACCTTAGGATTGCAAATGACCTTGTGGTTCAGTGCTTTATCCCACAGTGCCTCCTGGGTAGGAATTGAGCACTTGCTAGACTATGCAGAAATGCAAGTCATCCTGAGGTCAGAGTTACTCAATGCATTGTTTGTGCAATCATAGGTATCGCACTCCACCTGTTAAGGTGCCAGCCCACAGGTGTGTATTGTTGGGGCGTGACGCAATGTTAGTTTATTAATGGTCACGCTCAGCCTCTGATTTTCTAGGTTGAGCTCATGAGGCACAGGTGTGAAGTGGGACAGTTAGCTTCATTATCCTGCCAGGTGTGTGAGCTCTTTTCCTTCACCTTTTTGTAAACTAGATGCTTTGTGATGCAGCGCCTGGGAAACTGAGGATTGTCCATGGGGATGTGCTGACTTTCAAGGTGGAAAAGGCTTTCCCAGAAAGTCTCAGGAGACGATGGGAGGACGGTAAGTGTCACCACACTCGTGTTTCCATGTCCTTCTGTAATTGTTGTGATTCAACATTTATGAAGAAAATGATCTGAGCAGAAACGTGCATTGCAGTCGGTTTGTTTTTTTTTCCTGCTTTCTTCCAGAAACATGAACTCTAGTTACTTTTTCTTAATTGAAATTTACTCGTCTTTGTATTTCAAATGTTTTGGGTTCTGGGCAAATAAACACGATGCAGGTGGTGAGCTATGAAATGTTGCTTTTTCCAGTGTTGAGAAAAGGCATGTTTGCGTACCCAGGTCAGACGTAAGCCTCCTCAGGCCTTCTTTTCCACTGTCTTTCATGGCGTGGTGATCACTCGAGGCGCACGCATTCTTCATGGGCACTGCTTACTGGGGGACCTACGAGTGAAGAGACAGGGTCTCTTGCCTTTGAAAACTCTCAGATCCAGAGGAGGTCATGCTTTGGTGATACCTCCTTTGTGAGCATCTGTCCCTTGGTTATACTTTAAACTTATGATGTCCAAAGCAAATTATCTTTTCCCTCAAACTAGCTCTTTCTTATGTACTAGTTTTTGGGACAATTCCATTCCATTTTTCCATGAATTTTTGAAGGCCTCTCATATTTTTTCCTAAGTAGAAATCTGCGGGCTTTGCGCTGACTGACTGTTGGGCTGAGTACTTTTGTGTAGTGGTTCAAACCTGCTGGTGAGAAGCCACTGCATTTGAAGAATAAATGGACTGAAAAATACTCAGCCACGTCTCTTCCTGTGTTTTTGTTTGCTATTAATATCCAGTTTGAGTTCAGTCTTCACTAAAATTGTACACAGACTCGATTGATGGACTCACTTCCGCTTGGCTTTCCCTTTGCCGTACAGAGCCACCGAATGTCCACATCATTGGAAACCTGCCTTTCAGCGTCTCAACGCCACTGATTGTCAAGTGGCTTGGAAATGTTTCCCGCCGAGATGGGCCTTTTGCTTACGGCAGAACCCAGATGACTTTGTCTTTTCAAAAAGAAGTGGCAGACGTAAGTCTTAACTGTCCTGTCTATTTTGTCAGCAAACCAAACTCTGAATCAAAATTATACTGCATTCCTACCACAAACTGTATTTTCTAGTAATCCATTAGACCAAAAACCCAACCCACTGCCCTGGATTTGGTTTTGCCTCATGGAGACCCTATTGGACAGATTAGAACCACCCCATAGGGTTTCCAAGGCTGTCAGTCTTTATGGGGACAGACTGCCTCTGTTCTCCAGAGGAGAGTTTGGTGGGTTTGAACCGCCAGCCTTGTAGTCAGCAGGCCAGTGCTTAACCCACAGCACCATCACCAACCAAGAATTAAGCATAGACAACTGCCCAGGGACTGCATGAATGGTGATGCTACCTACCGTGAAAGCCATGCTGTCAGTGGAGAGTGCAGCGTTTGTGTGTGCTCACGTTAGTACTTTGCACTTACTAGGACTCCGGGGCAGACCCTGTGGAGCCGACAGGAAGGGCTTGGGCCTCACTATTTAGTACCGTTCTCACTCTCGCTTACCTCCCCCACTTCAGCCAGGTCTGCTGTGCATACCTTTTCCCTGGCAGGAGGTTCCCCGGTTCACAGTCTCCAGGCAGGCTAGGTGAGAGCAAGTGTTGAGCTGTAGATCTTTAAGGAGGGGATCTGTAGACAGTAAACCAAACCAAAGCAAAGCAAACCCACCGCTGTGGAGTCGATTCCAACCCAAAGCGACCCTGCATAGGCTTCCCGAGACCACGTGTTGACGGGAGCAGATAGCCTCACCTGCAAACCTGTGTTCAGCAGCAGCCCAATGTCCAGCCCAAAGTGCCCCCAGAACTCCTAATGGATAATTCGCACTGTACATTAAAAGAATTCTTATGGTAGATAAAGAGAGTCTGTAACGTAAAGCATAAGTATCTCCCGTTGCCGGAGGTGGGGAGCATATGGGTAACTGCTCAGCTAATAAATGGTTGGCGAAGCAAATTTACTGAGAGTTGTGTTGGAAGATAGACCTGGAAATCGGGTTGAGAAAGGCTGCAGCCACGAAGCCCCTGTGGAGGGCACTTCTGCATCGCAGGGAATCTTCATGAATCAGAATCGACTCAAAGACAACTGGGTTGGTTAAATACCTGTGAGGCCCAATGTCCCCACTGGTTTGTGTCACACTGTGGTGGCCTGTGTGTTGCTGTGACACTGGAAGCCACTGATAGTTTAAATACCAGCATGTTCATCCATGGTGCACCAGTTTCAGCAGAGCTTCCAGACCAAGACGAAGTAGGGAAAGGAGAGGCAAACTATTTCTAAATGGTTTAGAAACCAGTGTGAATAGCAGTAGAACATTGTCAGATAAAGAGCCAGATGATAACATCTCTATGAAACCCACCAGAGCATTGTCAGACATAGTGCCAGAAGGTGAGCCCCTCAAGTTGGAAGGCAAACACTGCTTGCTAGAGTGGAGTAAAGTTCTCGGAACCTTCATTTGCTGATGGGGCACAACTCAAAATGAAGAGGAACATCGGCAAATATCCATTAATAATCAGAACATGGAATATAAGAAGTATGAATTTAGGAAAATTATAAGTTGTCAAAAATAGAATGCATTGAGATTGATATCTTAGGTGTTCGTGTACTTAAATGGACTGGTTTTGGCCATTTTGAATCTGACAATCATATGGTTTACTATGTCGGGAATGACAAATTTGAGAGGTATGGAGTAGCAATCATCATCAGAAAGAACACATCAAGACCTATGTTAAGTGCAGTACTGTCTGTGATAGGATAACATCCATATGCCTACAAGGAAGACCAGTTAATACCAATATTATTCAGATTTATGCACCAACCACTAAAGCCAGTGATGATGAAATTGAAGACTTCTAACTTCTTCAGTATGAAGGTCAAATACCCAATCAAGTTGTATTAATAATGATTGGCAATTGGAATGCAAGAGTTAGAAACAGTGGAAGGATCAGTTGTTAGAAAATATGGACCTGGTGATGGAAGTGATGCTAAGAGATCACATGATAGAATTCTGCAAAACCAGTGAGTCCTGGTGTGGTACTGTAGGATCAGCACTAGACTAGACAAGGTCAGCAGTTCAAACCCACCAGCTGCTCCTTGGAAACCCTAAACAGGGTCAGAATGAATTAGAGCCACTTGAAGACACTATAACAACAACAATGACTTAACTCATTGCAAATACTTTTCTTAAAGAAACAAAAAGACCACTGTACACATGGCCCTCATCAGATGGAACACACAGCAGTCTGTCCATGTATTATCTGTCATTCTCTTTGGTACCCTATTTATTTTGAGTTTTTTGTTAGTGTGAGCAAAATGACGTATTAGGCAAATCTGCACAAGTCCTCTCTCTTTAACGTATTCAAGAGCAAAAATGTCAATTTGAAAACTAAATTGACTACATCTATGGAAAGAGACGGTGGAAAAGCTCCATATCATCAGCCAAAACAAGCCAGGGACAAACTAGAACAGACCATGAATTTCTCATTTACAATTTCAGGCTGAAGCTGAAGAAAATTAAAACTAGTCCGCAAGATCCAAATACCTTAAACGTATCCCACCTGAACCCAGAGACCATCTGAAGAACAGGTTTGATGCATTAAACACTAATTACTGAAGGCCAGTCGAGTTGTGGGATGGCATTAAAAACATCACACTGCATGAAAGAAATTAAAAAGACAGGAAAAGAAGATGGAATACACACACAGTCACTGTCCCAAGAAGAGATGGTCGATGTTGGGCCATTTCAAGAGGTAGCATGTGATCCAGAATCAATGGTACTGAAAGAAGTCTACGCTGCCCTGACGGCATTGGTGAAAAACAAGGCTGCAGAAATTGATGAATACAAATTGATATCTTTTAACAAACTGATGCAGTACACACTGGAGGCACTCACTCATCTATGCCAAGAAATTTGGAAGACAGCCAGTGAGTTGAGGGTAGACGTGCTGTTGGATGTCCTTCAGAGGCTAGGATGGCTTCAGCCCAGCCACAGTGGTGCTGAGGCAAGAAATTCTGCTTTAGACTGTTTGAACAGCTTTAGACTGTTTGAACATATGTCTTCTTTTTCTCAGTAACCTTGGCTTTTCCTCCACAAAATGAGGACTCTTTCTTTTATGTTAGGAGCAGTACATTGGCATTTCCGCAAGGGTCTTTCTTGTTGGTGCCTGCTTAAGAATCTATTCACTCTTGAATTGGTTTGAATGCGGCCCAAGCTAGCCATTTTCTTTGTTTGCTTTCTCAACCTTTGTATTTGTCTGTGAGGTTTTTTTGGTGGTTCTGTTCTTACATAACGCAGTAGAGATGCAAAATATCATGGACTCGAATGCTGAGGTTTAGGAGGTGGCATAGAATGTCATTTGTGGTTATTAATAAGAGTGTTGGTTCAACTTCAGCATGTACAATTATGTTTTTTAAAATAAGAGTTGATTTTAGTTACATTTTAGCCTGAGCAGTGGGAAGAATCCATACTGAGTCTGATTTATGATCACACTGGTCCTCTGGCAGATCGCCACACTTTTCCAGTGAAAAGTTTCCATGGGTGAGCAGGAGGAGATTCAGAAAGCTCTTGGACAAACTTCATTCTCCTTTAATCCCATTTTTCCAAAACCTTATTGAAACCCCCATGTATAGCAGCATTTTGTCATGTAGGTGTCTGTGTCTTTGGTTGCTCTTGTCATGTCATTTGCGTGTGACATACAGGTAGCCCCTGACTTAAGACATATTCCAGCTATGACGAACCACACTTAGGATTGCCGGCGTTTTGCTTTTGTTTTGGGGACATCTTATTGTTACATGTAGTACAGACAATGTTAAAGTGTAGCTGTAAGCTTTATGTAAATTTTTCCATCCCCAAAGACAAAGATCAGGTTTATAAAGATACTGATAATAAATTGCACTAATAACGAAAACTTAAAAGATAAAGTATTTGATTTGTGTCAGAACTGACTTAGCACAGAGTTGAAGTTACAGAAGCAGTCATGAGTTGGAGACTACCTGTATCTGAAATTTTGTGTTTTATCTGTAGAAAACACATTTTAAGAGACATCTACTCAGCTTGGCATTGTGAGGTACAAAACAGAGTGAAATAAACAAGTCTTCATCCTTGTATTCCTTTTTCTGGGCTACTACAGAATCTTGGGAAAAGGTCAGCTCATACATTTTAAGGGACGTGTTGTTGTTAAGTACCGTGGAGTCGGTTCCGACTCATAGTGACACTGCACAGGGTTTCCGAGGCTGTAAATCTTTACGGGAGCAGAAAGCCTCATCTTACTCCCATGGAACAGCTGGTAGTTTTGAACTGCTGACATTGAGGTTAGCAGCCCAACTCGTCACCACTACGCTACCAGAGCTCCTTGGAGACAGTGTATTGTCTGTCATAGCTCACAAACCGGAACCTGACTGCTTAACGGTGCGTGAGACCTCAGCAGGTGTCTCAGCTCCCTTCATTTCATAGACGACAAAGACGAGGCTCATTGTGGGCTTATGTCTTGGGGTTACGGAGCCCCTTAAAGACACCTACGGTCTTTGTGTTCCGGGTCTGACAGCGGCCTCTGTATCTCCTGGTGTCCATGGGGCTTACCCCGTCCCCGGCAGGGAGGCAGCCACTTCTCCATTGATGGCGTGATTCTCATTGTCCCTGGTACTTCACCTTTCAGCTTCTCAAGTGCAGACTTACCTTTCCTGTTTGCATTTACAATTACTGTAGATGACCAAGGGGAAAAATAACATGTCCCTCCCCCTTGGTCAGAATGTTTCCCAAAGCTCAGGAGTCAGAGGTTTCCTTGTACTGAACAATTAACTCATTCGGCTTCTTGGCCTTTCTCTGTGTAAATCATCTGTCTGTGAATTTTCATAGCTTTACCTATAATATACCTATTAGAGAAAAGCAATACAAGTTCACACGCTTGGTAAACCATTCAACATTTACGCTAGCTGTTAATGACGTGTGTGCCTTAAATGTTCTATTAATGAGTTAGGAAGCAGCATATGTGCTACTTTCTCTTAAGTTAAAATGTGTGATTCATGTGTTTTCATCTCCACAACCTGAGTGTATTTGCTACAAAGATTTGATGGGTCCGGTTCCAGGTCCAGGGTGGTGGTCCATGGAGAATGCCTGGTAATCATGCTGTAGTTGAAGTATACTCCATCGGTGTCTTTCTATCAAGTTGTTGTTGTTGTTAGGTGCCCTGGAGTCAGTCCCACCTGATAGCAACCCCACGCACACTGGAATGAAGCACGGGCCCCATCCTGGGCCATCCTCGTTACGTCTGGGCCTTTTGCTGCTGACACTGTATCAGTCCATCTTGTTGGGGGGTCGTTCTCTTTTTCCCAGACCCTCCACTATACTCCAAGCATGATGTCCTTCTCCAGAGATTGCTGCCCTCTGATAACATGTCCAAAGTATGTGAGACAAAGTTTGGGCATCCTTTAAGGAAGACTCTGACTTGACTTCTTCCAAGACGTAGCTCCTCATCCACTGCATCCTGACAGCTTTGAGGGGCAGACACCACCTGCATCCCCACCCCCAGGTGGCTGCTGAGCCTGAATCGTCACATGGATAGAGGCTCTTCCTGCTAGTGGGCCCTGTAGTGCAGAGGGGCAGCAGAGAACATTTTTAGAAGAAAAGCACGTCTTTTTCTTTGCACTCATCTTAGCTGTGTCTCATCTCAGCACGGTGCTGTATTTTCTTATTCTTGTTAAACAGGTCTATATGGAACCCTCCCTTCTCTTCTGTTTCCTCTTAGGAGTTCTCTCAAATCTCTTCATCCTTTCCATGGTACATTATACAAGGGGGCTTCAAAAAGTGCATAGAAAATTCCATTATCTTTCAATTCCATTTTTCCGTGAACTTTTTGAAACCCCACCTCCTGGTATTGTTGTAGTTTGCATCTATTTGTAAAAAGGAAAGAAGAAGCTTTTGAATTTTTTACATAAATGCTATCATCTGTGCCTATCTTCTGCTACTTAAATATTCTCTACACCATTTTGAAATGGAACCTAAATTGATTAACATGTAAACACATTGTTGGAGTGAGCATCATTTACTTGCTCATCCACCTGTTGATGAGTGTGTTTTTACTTTTATGGAGTGGCGCTGTATGATAAGCACTGGATCTCAAGGTCGATTTGAAGTACAGGTTGATGGTTCAGACTCACCAGCTGCTCCTTGGAAACCCTCTCCAGGGTCGCTATGAGTGGGAACCAAGTAGATGGCGCTGAACAGTAACAACTATACTGCAGTGTATGCTCTTAGATCCTCTTGTGCAGGTGTATAAAATGGGCTTTAGGATATATTCCTAAAGATAGATGTGAAGGGTTGTAGGGGTTCTGCAGCTTCGGCTTTTCTATAGATTCATGTTGCCCAGTTGTGTTCCACAAGGGCTCGTACTGACGTTCCTCATGGTAGTATGTGAGGGTCCCAGTGCTCCATATACTCCTCAGTAGTGTGATTTGCCAGATTCTTTTAATTTTGTTTTTTAAGTTTTACTGATTTCACAATGTGTATTTGTATCTCATGTTATATTTCATGGGCATTGTCCTAATTTTGAATGTGATTGAGCATATTTTATGGTTAGGGTTCATCTGGGTTGTTCTTTGGTGATTCTTACAGGTTCTGTTTTTAAGTTTCTCTTTTAACTGCCTCCTTTGCCCTTAGATCCGAAGAACTCAATGGTGCCTGGCTACTGTTAACTGAACATTTTGATCAAAGATTCTGTAGAAGAATCCTTGATCATAAGGAGGGAAATGTATAACAAAATTTCAAATTCTTATGGAATCCAGACTTCCTGGAGCTGTGGAGGCTGGATGAGCCCCTGTAATTTAAATACCCTTGTTATTAAGTGCCGTCGAGTCGGTTTCGACCCATAGCAACCCTGTATAGGGTTTCCAAAGAGCAGCTGGTGAGCTTGAACCGCCAACCGTGCAGTTCAAACATCTTTGCAGTCTGGCGCATTAACCCACAGCACCACACCAGGACTCCTTAAATACCCTAGGATATAACCTTTAAACCTTAAACCAGAAATATCCCCTGAAGAGATTGTAATCATTGTAATGAAACAAGTTTAAAACTGATGTTTTCCCATGTAAACTACCACTCAATTCACAATAAACTTTAAAAAAAAAAAAAAAAAACCCCCTGAAGTCTTCTTACAACCATCCGATAGTTGAGCTTAACTAGTAAAACAGTCTGCCGTGCACATCATTCCCTTTTAAGAACTGTCTCTTTGGATCATGTTGACTGCAGTGGCTGGAAAGCAACAGTTGTGGAGACAGCACAGGATCAGGTGGTGGTTTGTTACAGTGTTCCAACTCAGCGACCCTGTGTAGGGTGTCCCAGAGCAGCTGGTGGGTTTGAACCATTGACCTTGCAGCTAGCAGTCCAGTGTTTGTCCTACAACGACACAACCAGGACACTTTTAGTCCTTAACAAGTACCCCAACAGCTCTTGATACAGAGGTTCTCATAGCTGGTGTTTTGAGTGCGTTATGTAGGGTATAGGAGTCCTAGTGTGGCACTGTAGGATAAACCCTGGACTGTTAACCACAGGGTTGGTGATTCAAACCCACCAGCCATTCCTTGAAAACCGTACACAGGGTCGCTATGAGTTGGAAGCGACTTGATGGCACTTAACAACAATATATGGTATAACTCAACATTTGTTAGTTGGACCTCAGCTGATTTTGCTGGAAAACATTTCCCAGACTGGCTCTCAGGCATGTGGAAGACAGCCCACATTTTCAAATGTGTCTTAAATCCACCTAACATTCATAGATAATGGAACCTTAACTGCATTCCCTGAGGCCACTGGGTTAGTTCCCTACTGAAATCCCCATTTCTTCTTCCCAGAGACTCACAGCCAACACGGGGAGCAAACAGCGGAGCCGGCTGTCCATAATGGCCCAGCACCTGTGCAGTGTCCAGCACGTCTTCACCATTCCAGGGAAAGCATTTATTCCCAAACCAGAGGTGAGCTCTTGCTTGTTGGTTTCAGCCTGTCGAAGTTCAAATAGAATCGTTATTTCCCTTAATAGGCATCACATGAAATTATCTTTAGCAGCGAATCTTTATACATATGCCACAATACTCTTAACATTTTTTTTTTTCTCTCTCTGAATGGGAATCATAAAAAAACAAGTGGCCCTATGAATTGTTCTTTTTCTCATTTTCCCCTTTTTGATGTAATGACCAAATAGCCCTGTTTATATATTTTGTCCTGGTGTCACTATTATTATTGCCATGTTTGAGTCTTAAAACTATTCCAGAATAGAAGACAACTTACACCCTTAAGACAAGAAATCAATTTTGTGTGTGCACGATTTCTGATACAGACTTCTAACTAAAGTTACCTGAAACATTATCTATTTATCTTGATTTTTTATTTTATTTTATTTTTTTATTTTTTACCGTACTGTTTTTAAGTGGTGCTGTTGGGATGAAGCACTTGACTACAAGGTCAGTCAGTTTGAACTGCAGGGTCGGCAGTTCAGACTCACCAGCCACTCCTTGGAAACCCTGTTCAGGGTCGCTATGGGTCAGATCTGATTTGACAGTACTAAATAACAATTGTTGTTGAGAGCCCTTATTGTGGATTGTGGCAGTGTTATTTGTGATGAATCATGTGGAAAAAAAATGGATATTAACAGAAGTTGGGTTTTTTGGTTTTCTTTTTTTACGTATTTATTGTGAATTATGTGTAAGTTTACACGGGTGAACATTAACTTTACATTCATCCTATTGTACTTTGTTTCATTGCAAGCATCATCAAACACCCAAAGGGTACACCCCACACTCCTGAAGGACCACATGCCTGCTAGTGTATTCCATTTGAATTTCCATCTTGGAAGGGGGTTTGCCTTGAGGGGACCTGACCACTTGCCTTGATGACTCCCTGGGGAACAACTTGCTTGTTCTTGTCGTAGTCAGTTGGACTGCTGCTATTGTTGTGTTTGTTTTTTTGTCTGCTGGTCTTCTTTCAAGAAGTATCTTCTAGCTGTTCCAGCTTGGTCTGCTTGTCCTTTCACGTGGGAATGTCCCACCTCAGAAGATTCTGGATGATGATCAGGATTCCACCTGTGGTCTTGTGCAGTGAGCCTCTTTCACTGGCAAGTTCTAGCCCCATTTTAGTTTGTTTACAGAAGTTTTGACTATTATATGCTAGTTATAGAGAAGCAAGTGCTGTTACAAAAGAGCTAGAAACAGTTTCTCTGTTAAAAATAAAAAACAGCATCCATTTACAGAAAACTACTTCTTGACGACGTACCTTCATTTAATGCTCCTTAGACGTGACGGTGGTGAGACTCGTCGCTCGTACTCTGCGCATGTTATCAGGAGACACCAGTCCCTGGAGAAGGGCTTCATGCTTGGTCAAGTTGAGGGTCAGTGAACAAAGAGATGGACTGGCAGAGTGGCAAGCGCAGTGGGCTCAAATACAACAAATGTGAGGATCACTCAGGACTGGGCCGTGTTTTGTTCTGTTGTGCATGGCGTTGCTACGATCAGAACCGACTCAGTAGTACATAGAATAGCACGGCACAACACAACACAATATGTTTGATGAGTTAGCTGTGAAAGATGTCATATAAAAACTCATCTATGCACTATCTATCTGAAAAAGCCCTGGGCCAGAGATACAGGACAGAAATTTCACAGCCTAGTGAGGACTAGAAAGCTCTTCACTAATCATGTGATGTTGTTATTAAGTGCTGTTGAGTCAGCCCAACTCATAGTGACTTATGGTTATCCCAGAGCAGCTGGGGGTTTGTTTGAGTTGTCAACCTTGCAATTACCTTAAGTTAGCTTAAGTCCAGTGCTTATCCTCCAGTGCCACACCAGGACTCTGCACCTAGCAGGGTTTCTTTTACATAAATTAATCTTCGTTTAAAAAAAAAAGTTAATCATGTGGAATGCTCACAATGAATTGTGTGAGGAAACATGCGTAGCACCTTTATTCTCTTTTTAAACGAGTGTGTCGGTGTTCACCCGTCTTCTGTGAGCTGAAGTTAGTGATCAGTAGTGCTGACCTTAATAAGATCAGCATAAACGCTGGAATCGAGACTACCTGGGTGCAGTAGAAAACATTTGGCTCTCTAAAACCAAAGCAATCCAAGTGGGGTATAGCCTACATAGTGGTTTACACATTAGATTGGTGGCCCAGCCAGTAAGTGTGGACGGTGTAGTCCAGCCGTCTTGCCGCACTCTATCTACCGGGTGGTCAGGTGAGGCAGGAGTTCACACCACCCAGCTCTGACACAGCAGGCTGTTCATCAGCTTTGTCTAAATGCCGCTCAGGGAACTCAGTCAAGCCCCACTTCCTGTCAGCATCTCAAGGTTTCAGAGACCCAGAGAATGACTTCTTGTGAAACATCCTACCTCATGACTGGAAGTACCATGTAGGGGCTCAGCTACTTTCAGGGACTTTCTGTCTTAGAGTAGGTCAGTGTGATGAAGACAGCCAGGTGGTCATGTAGCTGTTGCCTTCCTGTAACTTGTTGCTGATCGATAACCTTCCAGTTGGTTCAGACTCACAGCAAACGTGTGCATGACAGTACAAAACATTGTCGGTCCTGTGGTAGCCTCACAGTCATTGCTCTGTGCTCATTGCTGCTGTTTCTGTCAGTCCACCTTGTTGAGGGTCTTCTTTTTCGCCGACCCTCCACTTTACCAAGCATGATGTCTTTCTCCAGGCACTGGTTCTTCTTGATAACATCCAAAGTATGCGAGCCGACGGCTTGACATTCTCGCGTCTAAGGAGCATTCTGGCTGTAGATGTGTGTGGATGTAACAATTTGGATAGGGACTCGACTCAGTGGCAGTGGGTTGGTTTGGGTTAAGGACCCAGTTATATCAGAAACCATGATGTTAATTAAAAAAAAAAACAAAAACACCCAAACCCACTGCCGTAAAGTTAATTCCAACTCATAGAGACCTTGGTAGGACAAAGTAGGACTGCCCCATTGGGGCTCCAGGACTGCTTATCTTCACGAGAACAGACTGCCTCCTCTTTCGCCCTCGGAGCAGCTGGTGGGTGCCAGCCACCATCCTTTCTGTTAGCTGCCCAACGTTGAATCCTCTTTGCTTGTAGGCTTTTCACGGCAATAGCTGCCCTCAGTTGGGCTGGACTCAGAAATGTTTTTATTACCCTGCCACGGTCTGAACCTACTCTAGGCTCTTAACAACAAAGTCTTGAAGCTATCTATATTTTACTAAGGGCTCTTATATTAGCATATTTTTAGTGGGAGGTTTCTAACTCTGTTAAAATTGTCCCTCAGGGATCAAGATTTGAAGAAAACATTTATTGCAAAAAATCCTAGCTGGACCTTTGACTCTCTGCAGGTCTTTCTCTGTACTGTAAATAGCTCATGCACAAGGGCAGGTGATTATTGGTAAACTAGGAGGCAAACGCATGTATTATGATAAAAGGAAACAGTACATCAAATGCTGAAATTCCAATTCTGAAGGAATTTTGTTGTTCTCTGCTGCTCGGAAGTAGTTTTACCACATTAGAACAGATTAGAAAGACTGAGGAAAGCTGAGAAATATTTGACTTGATAGTTACTTTGAGCAGGTGTTTTAAAAATTCATTTTCTTTAGTCGGAGCAGGGAGGAGTGCTAACAAAGAAGGCAAAATAATGGTACAAGCTTGTCCCTCTGGCTAAATCCTTTTGAAGGAGACAGCGTAAATCGGCACAAATTCTTACAACACAAAGTAAAATACGCTAATGCTGAGGTAGAAGAGTCCGCAGATTCCTGGGGGCAATGAGAGAAGAAGGTTAATTTTCTATAGATGAACCAGAAGGATTTTACTAAAATGCAATACTTAGTCTCAATCAAAACTCCAAAAATTAGATATGGAGAGTTTCTCGTGTGATTCAGGAAGACTTATTTATAGCCGCCTGTGGGATTTTCCTGTTAGAATCCGGGATCCCTTGTTGGAGCTTTATCAGCAGAAGTTGTGCTTCGGTGGAACTATTACAGCCCTTTTCTGCCTAGTACAATTTATTGCTCATCGAACACTTCAGTCTCATTCATTTCTCTAATCTGCCTGTCCCTGCAAAATTGGAACCCCCAGACTCTTTTCTGTCTACAGAAAAGAGAACCTCTTAGTTTCTTAAAATAAATGTTTTGTACTAATAAAAGTATTTCAGTAATTTTAAGACAAAAAGTATCTTTTGCTCTGCAAATTCACAATTAAAAATATTTCCATGGTGGAATAGAACTTTTGTTTCTTAACATTTCTCAAGCTGGCCTATGTAGGCCCCTGAAAACCTGTTGTATTCCTGGGATCCACAGTAATTGTTTATTCAGCTAGTCAGCACATTACTCAAGTTTGAGAAATTCTGAGCTCTTTGATCCAGAAAACCAAACCCAGTGCCCTTGAGGTGATGTGTCTCACAGCAAGCCTGTCACGGAGTAGAACTAGCTCAGAGGGGGCCCGAGATTGGAGCTCTTATGGTGGCTGACTGCCCCGGCTCTGTCTCCAGTGTTAAATTACTGAATAAGCAAGGTACGCCAGGGCTGTGTTTACTTACTAATCTATAGTTAACAATTGTTCATTTTTTACCACATCAAAGCCTCTGCCTCCAGGTTTGGCTGATGTCTGTCTCTCTCCCAACCTCATAGCAGCTTCCTACAGCATCAAAGGGATGGAAAACTTAAGTAAGCAAGGTATTTATGATGAAACCCAGGTGGAATTGTTCCCTACACATTAGTAACTAAGCACATGTAAGCCCATGCTTACATTGCTTATTGGGTAATCCGCCTATGGAATGACAGGTGGGTTCGAACCCCTGACCTTTCAGTTAGCCAAGTTCTGACCACTGAGTCATCAGTGCTCCTTTAATCCCTCAGAATTCTGTTAACTTGAACAAATGGTTGCTATGGGCCTCTTGCAGAGTCCCAGTATAGTGCTGTGGATTAATGCAGTGGACTGCAAAGTTGGTTTGAACCACAAGGTCGGTGGTTCAGGC